CAGAATGGTATATATTTATACTTCTCATCCAAACACAATTAAAGTCACTCTATCCAGGAGACACTATTTATCTGGATAGTAGTTTTTAAGTAATAACAACTCAGAATAAAATAGGAGTAACAACTTTCTACTTCTTACCTTTTTAAAAATATAGTAAATAGAAAGTACAGATAACTGTGTAAAAATGCAATGAGTAAAAGTAAAAAGTACGCTGAAAAATAATTACTCAAGTAAAGTGCAGATACCCAAAAATTCTACTTAAGTACAGTAACAAAGTATTTGTACTTAGTCACTTTACAACTCTGCATAAATATACACAGAGTAGGGTAAATAAAGCCTGTACTATAGAGTTGCATGTATTTAATTTAATTTCGGTTGTTTCTGTGAAGTGTCTGATGTTTCAGCTCTTATAACATCAAATGGAAACATGATCTTTATACAGTCTAATCTATTGTTTTTATTAACTCACTTGTTAAATGTCACTTTGTTAAATGTTTAGGATGTTTTGTGACAAACATTAACTTTTCAGGGGTTTGTCTTCTAAATGCTTGTCTCTTTGACACTTCCTGTTCAGTGTTTTTGTCCGTGTAATTCATTTAACGTTTTTAACTCAGTTTGGTTGATGAACCTTTTATGTTTTTGGTCGTCACAGTTCGCCACCTTAAYGCCAGCGCCCAGTAAACATGGACGACAAAGACGTTTGCTCCTTCGTCAACAAGGAAAAGGAGAAGGACAGAGAGGCAGACAGGAGGCYGGGATCCGCCCGGGACAAAGCCAAGGACGAGGCCAAAGCGAGCGGGAAGAAAGACGGCGGCAAGGAGGAGAAGAGGAAGCGCCTAGAGGAGGAGAGGAAGAAGAAGGAGGAGAAGGAGCGAAGGAAGAAGGAGGAGGAAAAGCAAAAAGTGGAGCAGGAGCAGAAGAAGAAGGAGGAGGAAGAGGAGGAGGAGAAAAGGAATCAGGAGGAGCAGGAGAGGAAGCTGCAAGAGGAGGAGGCCAAACGGCAGCGTGAGGAGGAGGCGGCCCTCCTCAAGTAAGTGATGAAGACTTCCTGACTCTTCACTCGTAACTTCAACGTTTGCTGTCAGGTTTAACTGAAACGAGTCAAAGAATTCATCTTTGTTCCTGATGGTTTCTTAAAGAAACAAACACTGAAACTGCAGTTTCATTAAAACATATCAAGCTCATGTTAAAAGTAGTGCTGTACCAAACGATTATTTTCTAATCGATTAAACGATTATTTTTTCGATTAATCGATTATTCTAACAACAAATCTATAAGTTATTCTGATGTGAGTGCACTGGAAATTTAATATGTTTTCATCAAATTAACAAGAACAGTTCTTTAATATTGTAATTATTTTCTGTAATAGTTTTTCATGGACACAAAATATGCACTCTAGAGTCAATTCTTTAACAAAAAAAAGCTTAAAAGATTTAACACTAATATAAAATCTCAACCAAAGCATATAAAATTCAACTAAAAGAAATATAGTGTAAGATGTTAACAAACAAATGAACGAAATCATGCAAAATTCAAGTCACTCTGGAAAAACTATAATAAACATTTATTTATTATTTTTTCATTAACAAATATCAAGACAACATCCAACTCTTTGTATTGTAACATCAGTTGTGTAACTTATTTCTTTAAGGTGAAAACTGTTGAAAACAACAAGACAGTTTTGTCTTATTACACAAATTAAAATCCAGCTCCACGTGTTTCTATTGATGTCATTTCCCCACTAGAAACATGTGTGATGGAGGTCCATGAAGGTAAATAAGTTTAAATGAAATAAAGAAAAGAGGATGCAGTTAAAATAAATAAAAGGTATTTAAGGTACGTTTTGAATATCCAGAACACGTCCAACACTTGTTGGCTGCTTGTGCTCTTTAGGTCAGACGTGTGTCTGAAGCTCCTCTGTTGTTTCAGACGCTGGGGGAACCGTCTGATGGGGGAACGTGGCTCCACCTAACACCGCTCTCTGTTTAATGCTGGATGAAATAAAGAAAGTGCTGCTACTTTATTTACTTTGAGCAAGCGAACATCATGTTCACAAGATAATTAATCCAGCAGATAATTCAGAGGCAGTCTGTTTGGTAAATTTGACTCCAGGAGCTGCGAGGCTTGTTTTCAAGCTTCAGACTGAACTGAAGCAGCAGCTGCTGACGTCATTACGCTCTTGCGATGCTGCGTTCAGGACAAGCATGAAAAACTCACCACTCTTATGCCAATACGGTCGCAATGATGCTTTTAGGTACTGAAATGGAATTGCATGAACATTCACGTGGTGGTTATGTAATACAGCAAATCGATAATAAAAAATCTGCGTCGACAAATTTACATAATCGACGTCATCGATTATTTCAACTAATCGGTGCAGCCCTACTTGTGACGTCCACGGCCTACCCCAGTTACCACTACTGTGCATGTGTGTCAAGGACAGAAAGGCAGACGTGGCAGTGGAAGTTGTCAAAGCAGTTTGGAGAGAAAAACAAAGTAAAGAACAACAACAAAAAAGAAAACAATTAATCGATTATTAAATTAATCATCGATTATTTTAATAATCGATTAGTTGTCAATTAATCGTAGCAGCCCTAAAAAAAGCATCAAATGATTAATATTCCAAATATTTCATTTTAATTTTTTTGTCAATATAAAACTCTAGTTTTTCAGATTAATAATAACATAATTAAATGGTTTGTACTTTAACATGTTTTACTCTGAGTTATTATTTTCTTAAACAGCTCATTAAAATGTTCGAGATTCAAAGTGTTTGTTGTCATATGCACAGATGAAAACACGTTTCTCTGAGCAATGAAATTCTTTGTCGTCCATTTTTGAATGCCAAGAGATAACCATATTAAAAAAAACAAAAAAACGAATCCTCACCGAAAGGACACAAACCATGTTTATTAGATATAAAAAAGACATCAGAGGGGAACAATATAATAATGACAACAAGAAAGGAACTGTACAATCTGTTTTTAAAGTGTAATGTGCACATGTGCAATAATAATAGGCAGAAGAATGTTACATTCAGCTGTTTAAACGTCAAAAGTTTTTAAAAGTTCTTTAAAAATCTTTAAATGTTCTTCAGCTTCTGGAAGCTTTGATGAGTGCAAGAGCCATAATTAATGTTTTTGTTGTTTATTAGTGTTCTGATGTTTACATGTGTTTAGATTACTTCTGCACCTCCAGGTCATTGAAACAACAGCTGTGGTTGCACACGGGTGAAGTCAGGCAGCTGGCTGAGAGGTTTTGGGGATTTTCTTCACCGTCATCATTATTGTTTTATTCACTAGGGTTGGGCATAATCGTATCGTGTGCAATTAATCGTCAGAAAAACATTAATCGATTATTATTTGTCACTTGATGATTAATACGATTAAAGTCACCAGTCAGTCCGCTCGCTGCTCCTCTCCGCTTCAAATATGACAAACATTTAAAAAAAAGTTCTGTCATTTATCACAACACAGTTAAAACTTTGAAGTATAGCCTGAAGTCTGTAATTTTGACACAGTTTGAAACAGATTTTTATGAAGAACAAATCTTTCCCACTAAATTAGTCATGTGACCAGAACATCAGGATGTCCAGGGCGTTAATGGTCAAGTGAATCGTTATTAATGTAAGGAGTAGAAAGTACAGATAATTGTGTAAAAATGTAAGGAGTAGAAGTAAAAAGCACGCTGAAAAATAATTACTCAAGTAAAGTACAGATACCCAAAAATTCTACTTAAGTACAGTAACAAAGTATTTGTACTTAGTGTGCAGCTCTGGTGAGGCCTCAGCAGTTTCCTGTCATGTAACCATGAGTTTTTTCTTCCTGCAGAGAAAAGGAGGAGGGGCATCAGCTGCACCAGGAAGCCTGGGAGCGYCATCAGTCCAGAAAGGAGCTGCGCAGCAGGAACCAGAACGCCCACGAGAGTCGTCCCGAGGAGGCCTTCTTCAGCCGGCTGGACTCCAGCCTGAAGAAGAACACGGCCTTCGTGAAGAAGCTGCGCACGCTGACCGAGCAGCAGCGCGACGCGCTCTCCAAYGACTTCGCCTCCCTCAACCTCAGCAAGTACATCGGCGAGGCCGTGAGCTCCGTGGTGGAGGCCAAGCTGAAGATCTCGGACGTGGGCTGCGCCGTGCACCTGTGCTCCCTCTTCCACCAGCGCTACGGCGAGTTCGCCCCGCTGCTGCTGCAGGCCTGGAAGAGGCACTTCGAGGCCAGGAGGGAGGACAAGGCGCCCAACGTGAGCAAGCTGCGCACCGACCTGCGCTTCATCGCCGAGCTCACCATCGTGGGCCTCTTCACCGACAAGGAGGGGCTGTCGCTGATCTACGAGCAGCTGAAGAGCATCATCGGCGCGGACCGGGAGACGCACACGCACGTGTCGGTGGTCATCAGCTTCTGCAAGCACTGCGGCGACGACATCGCCGGCCTCGTGCCCCGCAGGGTGAAGCTGGCGGCCGAGAAGTTCTGCCTGACCTTCCCTCCGAGCGAGATCATCAGCGGCGAGAAGCAGCAGCCCTTCCAGAACCTGCTGAGGGAGTACTTCACCTCCCTGACCAAACACCTGAAGAAGGACCACCGCGAGCTGCAGAACATCGAGAGGCAGAACCGGTGAGTCGGTCAGACGTCTCTCTGCTCCTGTCTGAGTGGAGCTGAAGTCTTGTCTCTTTCAGGAGGATCCTACATTCCAAAGGCGAGCTGAGCGAGGACAGACACAAGCAGTATGAAGAGTTCGCCACGTCGTACCAGAAGCTGCTGGCCAACACGCAGACGCTGGCCGACCTGCTGGATGAGAACATGCCGGAGCTGCCGCAGGATAAGACCGTGCAGGAAGGTGAGGTCCAACGGCACCAGGCAGGAATCTCTCCTGAGCCCAACGCTCTGAACAGCTGAGGCCTGGTGCACGACTAGGATAAGGGATTAAGCTGGGATTTAGGTGTAAACCTGAATTAATTAAGCCTTGAATTGGTTGCATGACAGAGGGAGCACTTATGTTTCTGTGGTAACAAGTACTCTGAAACTAACCTGACCAGGTTTAAAGTGAAGCTTATTTAATCTGTTAGTATTTTTGAGCAGTAGAGTCATTTTACTGCAGAAACATGTTCCTCTAACCAAGTTTTACAGTCTTATATCAGCTAAAAGGATTTTTGATCTTGTTTTTAGACCCATAATCTAAACAAGATCAGAATATGTTGGATTATTAATCTTGTTAATCTGAAAAGCTTTTTTTTTTACTTCAAGAAGTCTTACCAACTGTCAAACTGCAGATTATTAATTATTATTAATTTGAAAAAAATAAGGGTCTAATCCAGTATTTTGAACTTATTTTTAGAAGACTAATTTATGTAATGTTTGATCAGAAATCAGTTCTTCAAACATTTATTAAATTTACTCTTTTCTGTGCGTTAAAATATTACAGAGTAAATATATTTATTTAATTTATTTATCAGATTGTCTGTAAAAAAGAATAATAAAAAAAAGACTTAAACTCAGCATCACCTTATGCCAAGTTCCCCCTTCTCTGTACCTGCTACAGGCCACGCCCCCTCCCCCGCCCCTCATCTTTTCCTGCAGCGATCATTTGAAGTGAGCGATCAGCTGTTCTTTTTAATTTAGTTCATTTAGTTAATCTCAGATAATTTACAGACAGATTCAGTGACACAAAAGTTTTTACTTTTGAAATAATTTCAGCATCAGTCGGTGTTTCTCTTCATATGAATCATAATTAACCATTAAACTGCTGGAGGACGTGAGACTCGTGTGTCTAACTGCACATGCCTGATCAGTAAATCTGTGATCCACTCAGTGGGTCTAGTGAACAAACCGTGAACGTGCATTAATCCTAAACCATTTACAGCTGCTTGAATGAGCCGCTGTGATTGAGCGCAGCTTGTTGTTGGAGCAACAGATTACAGCTGTTAACTAGTTGAGGGTTTGTTCAAGCTCAGCTTACAGCTGAGATCCTGGATTTATAAATCTGACTTTGTGAAATGAGCCTCTGGTCTCTCCTCAGAGCACGGCCCCGGCATCGACATCTTCACYCCCGGAAAACCCGGCGACTACGAGCTGGAGGGGGGCATCTGGGAGGACGAGGACGCTCGCAACTTCTACGAGAACCTGGTGGACCTGAAGGCCTTCATTCCCGCCATCCTCTTCAAGGACAACGAGAAGAGCGGCCAGAGCAAAGACAAGGACGAGGCCAAAGGTAAAAACAACTCATCCAGAGACGAATAAAAACAGATTCTGGTTTTCTTCTGACTCCGCTGCTGTTCTGTCAGACGGCAGGGATGGAAAGCATGCTGCGAGCGCCACAGAGGAGCTGGAGCTGGAGCTGGAAGCTCTGGACATCACAGACGAGCCTCTGGAGCTGGAAGGAGGAGACGAGGTGGAGAGTGAAGAGCTGGCCAAGAAGCTGCTGGATGAACAAGGTAAACCTTACAGTCTGCTTACTGAGTTACTGCAGATCCTTAAAAAGTCTTAAAAGTCCTTGAATTCATCGATCCAAAATTAAGGCCTTAATTAGCCTTAAAATGTCTTAAATCAATCTTTCAGAA